TGAATGAATGAATTTTTTCTCGGTTGAATGAAATTTAAAAAAAAACCAGAAAAAACATTATTACTGGGTTGATTTAGCCAACCAACCAACCAACCACCACTATCATCAAATAAATCAATCATTTTCCATTTTGAAGAAAAGAAAATAAAATCCAAATTTCAGTTCAAGTTTCATTGAAATCATCATCATTCGATTGTTAATTTGTTTTAATTTGATCATCAAAGAAAAAAGAATCAAGTTTTTTTTTGAACCAACCGAATGAATCTCGTTTGTTTGTTTGTTTGGTTGGTTGTTCGATTGTGTAATTCAACAACCAAACAACAACAAAATCAGACAAAACAAAAAAAGTGTGTTTAAGAAGAGAGAAATCATTTTGCTCAGGTGAATCCTTAGAAACTAAGAAAATTTAGGTCAAATCCAAGACAACAACAACAACAAGTTTGTCTTTCGGATCAAAAAAAAACCAAAGAAAATCAAAAAGAAAGAGAGAGAGAAGCAGGTATCTGTTTCTCCACTTAAATCATATTTTCATTTCATTCATACGATGATCATTTTATGATGCGAATTTCCTATATGTTTGATGCCGGTAAAAGCAATATCAGAAAAAAAAGAAAGAAACATGAACATCATCTTTATGGCTGGTTTTCAAAGATTGGCCAATTTTTCTTTGGATTTAAATCATCTATTTCTACCTACATGATATTTACACACACACACAAACGCCTACACACTTGGGAGAAACTTTTCGGCAACAACAAAGAAAATCTTTCAAAATGTTAACAAACCTGCCAAGGAAATTGTCCAAACGATGCATCCGATCCACCAACAATACGACTAATTCTTGTTGCTGATTTTCCGCATTCTAATCAAAGAAACCAAAAGAATCGAAAATCAAAAAATCGATCCAAAAATAGATAAAATAAAATGCTACATACGTGGATCATTAATAACAGGTCCCCAATATTTTGGTTGTATATCTTGGCTGCTTGGTGTTACACAACAAGTATGTAATGGGCCACATGATGCACCTAATGAACCACCAGACATCCAACAGAATACAAAAAATTGACATTTAGTACCACCAACACAACCAGGATTTTGTCGTTCACGTATACGCATTGTTGGTAAAAA